ATTTGCCATAGCTTTCCTCCCCAGGAGCAAGCGTCTTTTAATTTCTTGGCTGCAGTCCCCATCTGCGGTGATCTTGGAGCCCAGGAAGATAAAATCTGTCACTACCTCCATTTCTTCCCCACCTATTTGCCAAGAAGTGAGAGGACCGGATGCCATGATCTTAGTTTTCTTAATGTTGAGTTTCAAGCTCTCCTCCTTCACCCGCATCAAGAGGCTCTTTACTTCCTCTTCATTTTCTGCCATTAGAGTGGTATCATTTGCATATCTGAGGTTGTTGATATTTCTCCCAGCAATCTAAATTCCAACCTGTGATTCATCCAGCCCCGCCTTTCGCATGATGTGCTCTGCATATAAGTTAAATAGGCAGGACGACAGTATACAGCCTTGCCAAACTCCTTTCTCAATTTTGAACCAGTCAGTGGTTCTGTGTCCAGTTCTCACTGTTGCTTCTTGACCCGCATACAGGTTTCTCAAGAGACAAATAAGATGGTCTGGTTCTCCCATCTCTTTAAGAACTTGCCACAATTTGTTGTGATCCACACAATCAAAGGCTTTAGCATAGTCAATGAAGCAGAAGTAGATGCTTTTCTGGAATTCCCTGGCTTTCTCCATGATCTGGTGTATGTTGGCAATTTGATCTCTAGTTCCTCTCCCTCTTCGAAATCCTCCGTCCATAGCTCTTCAGGCACTCTGTCTATCAGATCTAATTCCTTAAATCTATTTGTCACCTCTACTGTATATTCAGTAGGGATATGATTTAGGTCATACCTGAATGGCCTAGTGCTTTTTTCTACTTTCTTCAATTTAAGCCTGAATTTTGCAAGAAGCAGCTCATGATTGAGCCACAGTCAGCTCCCGATCTTGTTTTCACTGACTGTTTAGAGCTTCTCCATCTCTGGCTGCAGAGCACATAGTCAATCTGATTTCTGTGTTGTCTATCTGGTGATGTCCATGTGCAGAGTCGTCTCTTGGGTTGTGGGAAAAGAGCGTTTGCTATGACCATCATATTCCTTGACAAAATCCCACCAGCCTGTGCCCTGCTTCATTTTGCACTCCAAGGCCAAACTTGCCTGTCATTCCGGTGATCTTTTGGCTTCCTGCTTTAGCATTCCAATCCCCCGTGATGATACGGACATCATTTTTTGGAGTTAATTCTAGAAGGTGTTGTAGGCATTCATAGAACCGGTCAACTTCAGCCTCTTCAGCACCAGTAGTTGGGGCATCAACTTGGACTACTGTGATGTTGAATGGTTTGTCTTGTATTCGAACTGAGATCACTCTGTCCTTTTGGAGATGGTATTCCAGTACTGCTTTTCCTACTCTTTCATTGACTATGAAGGCTACGCCATTTCTTCTGAGGGATTCTTGCCCACAGTAGTATACCTGATGGTCGTCTCAATTGAATACGCCCGTTCCTGTCCATTTTAGTTCACTGATTCCTAAGATGTCGATGTTCAGTCTTGTCATCTCTTGTCTGACCACGTCCAGCTTGCCTTGATTCATGGATCTTACATTCCAGGTTCCTGTGGAGTATAGATCTTTGCAGCTTCGGACTCTCCTTTCACCACCAGACACATTCAGAGCCGAGTGTCCTCTCCACTTTGACCCAGCCGCTTCACTCTTTCTGGCGCTACTGGTACTAGCCCTCCGCTCTTCCCCAGCAGCACGCTGGACACCTTCCGGCCCGAGGGGCTCATCTTCCGGCCTCATCGCTCTTTCCTTTTGGTACTGTCGGTGGGGCTTTCACGGCAAGGGCACTGGAGTGGGCTGCCATTTCCTTCTCCTGTGGATCACGTTTTGTCAGCGCTCTCTGCTATGGCCTGTCCATCTTGGGGGGCCCTGCATGGCAGAGCTCACGGCTTCATTGAGCCACGCAAGCCCCTTGGCCATGACATGAAGGGGAGTACTTTGAATTAGCGCACACGTTTTTGGCTTGTCAGCTGCTCCACTCCTGCTGGACGAATGGTAAATAAGTATTGCTAAGAATTAAAAATAATCTGAGTTCTGTGTCGAGGGAGACTGGATGCTGCAGTTCCTGTTTATCCCACACGACTTGGCAAGGAGAATGGAGTCCTGCCTGTTAGGATTTTAGCCCATCTGCTGAGATGCTCTCCCACTTTCCATGTTGCTTCGTGCTCCTGAATTCTGGTGAAAAAGTAGCAGTGTCTTAAATGAGGAAAGCCCCACAGGAAAAACCTCCCATTTCCCTCTTTCACAAATTCATATTACAATAGGTAAATGCAGTAAAACCTTGGATTGCAAGCATAATTCATTCCGGAAATATGCTTGCAATCCAAAGCACTTGTATATCCAAGCAAATTTCCCCATAAGAAATAATGGAAACTCAGATGTTTCGTTCCACAAGTGAAAAATATTTATATAAGAATGATTACAGTACTGTAATATAATGCAAAGTAATAGAGAAAATATGAATATAAAGAAAAATAAAACAAATTAACCTGCACTTATCTTTGAAAACCTTCATGGCTGGTGGGAGGGAGACGAGAGGAGGGTTCTTGTGTAGGACGACTTTCAGTATCACTAACGGAATCACTGCTGTCTCTTGGCTCAGTGGAGTCTCTTTCTTTCCGTGCAGCTTCAACAAGGAACCCATCCGATGACAATTCCTTTTGAGGCTTTTGCGGAAATGTGACGTTGCATTGTCGTTCAACAGATCCCTCGCTGGTGCTGCCACAGCCTTATTTGGGTGGTGCTTTTCTACAAGATTGTGCACTGTTTCCCGCATCTCCCTAACCTCCCTTGGAGCGAGGGATTCCTCCTCCTCCTCCTCCTCCTCCTCCTCCTCGGTAGACGAGGTCTCCCCCGTACCCCTTGCCTCTGCTTTGCCTTCCAGCATCTCCCTCCTGGGTGGGGGCAGGGGGGATACCGAAAGGCAGAGCAGGGGCAGGGTTCCGCCCTTGTGCAGCACCGCCACGTACTCCTCCCACACAGGCCTTGGGATCCACAGGCGAGACCTGGCGTGATTTTTAAGCAGGTCTTCGCCACAGAGCACCAATCTACACCAGACCATGGGAACCGTTAAGCAGAACCTGGTTTAAGTTAGTCGATGTCAGTGCGCAGCACTAAATAACCCAAGACTCTACTAAAACAACCCTTTGTCCTCAGGGTGAGCGTATGCCTTGCCGTAACCAACAAGGAAATGCTGTCAGCTTAACGCTGCTTCCAGTGCAATCCTATGCACGTTTAGACCGGAAAACAGTTCTGTAATTCCCAGCATACCCTCCCTTCCTGGAGGGATGCTGGGAGTTGTAGGACCACAGCGAGCAAGAGAGAAGAACCACTGGCTCAGTTGTGATCATGTGACATTTGGCATCAAGTACTACTTGTATTGCAAGACATTGCTCGTTTATTAAGTTAAAATTTATTAAAAATGCTTGCTTGTCTTGCAGAACACTCGCAGAACCAGTTACTTGCAATCCAAGGTTTTACTGCATGTGTAGGGTGTATCTGGTTGAATATCCTGACAGTTCTGGACTGTCTTCAGTCCACAGAGGCCTTCTGTATTTTCAAGTGAATCTTTCAGGCTGTGAAGACCAGAAACCTGGGATGCACTTCCTTCATAAATTAAAAAATGGAACTTTCTTGGCTTGGTGTCCCCTTTCCTGTCCCATCTATACTTTTCACAGCCTGACATCTAAGCCTGTGGCTGTGGGAGCGCAGGGGAGGTCAACACCCCCCGGTCCTGTATGCTTGCGTGAGTACAAGGTGTGTGACCCCAATTGTGGCTCCTTGCAGGCGGACATACGTGGGAGCCATGCCAGGAAAGATCATCCAGTGCCTGAAGAAGACCAAGACGGAGAACCCGCTGATTCTGATTGATGAGGTGAAGGTTTTGGGGTGCTGCCCGCTGCGCTGCAGCAGCCGCATTGGCTCTGGCCAGTGTGGAGGCACCCGGTGACCGCAGCAGCCCGTTCTCTCTGGCGCAGGTGGACAAGATCGGGCGGGGGTTCCAAGGGGACCCCTCCTCGGCACTGCTGGAGCTGCTGGACCCCGAGCAGAATGCCAACTTCCTGGACCACTACCTTGATGTCCCCGTGGACCTCTCCAAGGTAACGGGTTGCCTTGTGCCCCAGGCTGGCTTGTGCTGTCCCAGGACAGGGCTGGGGACTGCCATTCCCAGCAGCTGTCCTCGGGTGTGATGGGAGTTGTGGTCTGGCTACGTGTTCCCCCATCCGCAGAATATGGGGAGCGGGTGGGCATTGCCGAGGTCCTGGTTTGGTGCTAGAAGCCTCGCCTGGCACACACCAAAAGCTCTGTCCTGATCAGGGGTCAGGAAGAGCCGGCTGGTGGGTTTGGAGGACCTGGGGGCCCAACCCTGTAGAAAGACACTGTTCAGGTTCCCCCTGGCTTTTCCTTCCGTGCCTCGGTTGGCCGCCGCTGGCCTCCCCCTGGCCTGTGTGCACCGAGGGGGGCGACTCAACATGCCAGGGGATGCCAAGGCAGGGGAAGGCTGGCCCCTGTTGAGCGGCTGAGCTCCGAGGACTGAAAGGGTGAGGCGCTCTTCTCAGCACCAGGCATGGAGTAAACATTTCCTCATTCTCCCATGATTTTAAGCAGTCTGTTTAGTGGGCTGGTGTGGAAGGCTTTCTGGGCCCTTGTCAGCCTTTACCACCTTTTCCTCTGTGCCATCCCATTCTGACACGGTGCAGTTGCACATTTCCTCCTCTTCCTGTGAGCCACCCGGAGCCCTACAGGTGTGGGGAGGCATAGGTTTGCCTTAAATAGGATAAGTCTGGGTCACTCTTCCGGAGCGCTCCCAAGTCGCACAGCCTGAGCGCAGCAGCCACCTGGCTCTCCCCTCGTCCAGGTTCTCTTCATCTGTACGGCCAATGTGGTGGAGACAATCCCAGAGCCCCTGCGGGACAGGATGGAGATGATCAACGTCTCGGGCTACGTTGCGCAGGAGAAGCTCGCCATAGCAGAGGTGAGAGCACCGCTGCCTCGGTACCAGTTGAGTCTCCAGTTCTGCCGCTGCTCCGATTTCCCTTGGCTTTCTTGGCGGGTTGGCAGCCAGTCAGTTTTTGCCATGGCCAGTTAGTTAATGCGTGTTGCTTTGCCATGGTAAAACCAGGCTCACAAACGGACATTTGTCAGTATTTCTGAATAGCTGTCACAAACCCTAACATATTGCTTCCCAAAGCATCCCACCCTGTTAAAAATACGATGGGCTTAAGCAGCCCCATAGGAAAGGGGGAATAAACTGATCCAAATGGGGGGAATAACTGCTGGCAGCCCCTTTGTCACTGGAATCCATGATGCCACTTCAGCCTTCACGGCCTGTTTCTGGGTTTTTCACCCTGGAATTGTGCTGGGGCTCCCGGCAGCAGGCGAGCTTTCTGCTTCGGTTAATGAATCAGTTAATCACGGGGCCTCTCCTGCTGTCCAGATGCAGGACTGTGGGTTGTTTACGAGCGCCAGAACCTGAATGAACCCAACGCTCGCCGGCAGTTCCATGGCAGCACTTGAGTCTTTGGTGGCAAGAGGCTGGACAAGATCCAGACAGTGGAAGGCTGGACTCGGGGAGGGATGGGACCTTGTTTCCTCCTGCATGGAATGTAGCTACTGGGCGTCTTTCCTTTTCCCCCTTCCAGCGGTATTTAGTCCCGCAGGCCCGGGTCCTGTGCGGGCTGGATGAGAGCAAGGCCAGCATCTCCTCCGATGTGCTAACAGTCCTCATTAAGCAGTACTGCAGAGAAAGTGGCGTGAGGAACCTCCAGAAGCAAGTGGAAAAGGTGGGACAGGAAGCGGCGTCTCCTGGGCAGGCCCCTCTTTGCGCCCACACCCTCACCCTCACCCTCCCCTCCTTCCCGCTTCTGCTCAGGTGCTCCGGAAATCGGCATACAAGATTGTCAGTGGAGAAGCAGAGAAGGTGGAGGTGACCCCTGAAAACCTGCAGGACTTTGTGGGGAAGCCCATCTTCACCGTGGATCGGATGTACACCGTGACACCCCCTGGCGTGGTGATGGGCCTCGCCTGGACAGCCATGGGTGAGGCGCAGGGCTCAGCCTCGGGGGGGGGGGGCGAGGTGCCACCTGGGCTCAGTCCACCCTTCCCTCGGGCTGCCCCGCCTCAGGAGAGGGCACCGTGGCACCGGGCAGGGGCAGCCGGAGGTGCTGGACCTGGCGGTGTGTGGAGTGGCCCAGCCTCAGGCGCCACAAGGGTCGTTCCGCTCATAGAGCGGGGAGGTGGTGGAGGTTGTAACATAATGAATGGGGTGGAGAACGAGAGGGAGATGCACCCCCTCCCGTGAGACTGGAGGCAAGGAAAGCACAGCATTGTGGGCAGTGTATAATCGGTGGCGTTCAGCCGCTCTGGCCTGGAAGTTGGCAGCGCCGTCCGGCTTGGAGGCCTCCGAGGAGGAGGACCGGGCGAATTGAGGGAGCAGCAGGCGGGGGCGCTCAGGGCTGCTCCACACAGTAAAACCCCCGGATCGTGTGAGCGGCCCCTCCTGCCTCTCGGAAGGGGGCCGGGTGCTCGTGCCCGCAGTTGGGCCACTGGGCCTGTCCCGCCCGCAAGCGCTCCCTCCGGCGCCCTGGTGCCTCGCAAGCGGCCTCAGGGTGGGCCGGCTACGCTTCCTTCCAGGTGGCTCCACTCTGTTTGTCGAGACATCCCTCCGGCGCCCCAAGGAGAAGGACAACAAGGACGGTTCTCTCGAGGTGACAGGCCAGCTGGGAGATGTGATGAAGGAGAGTGCCAAGATCGCCTACACCTTTGCTCGGGCCTTCCTGATGCAGAAGGATCCTAGCAACACCGATTTGCTCACCTCCCACCTCCACCTCCACGTGCCAGAGGTACCTGCCGCCTCGGAGCGATCCCCCTCCAGTCGGCACTCTCGGAGGCACGGGGGGTGTTGCTGCTAGGCAGACGCCGCAGCAGAATGGGAGCGGCCCGAGAGGCTCGTGCCGAGCGCTGGCCGCATCCATCGCTCCGTGCCAGGCCGCCAGGCCGCCGCCCCCCAGAGTGCTGTGTTCCCTCCCAGGGTCAGCAGTTTGCGCTTTGATCCTTCTGTAGGTCTGCGCTCCTTGGGTTTCCCTCAACACCCAGATACTTCCCTCTTGTTGTGGATGGGCTGGTTTGTCTACCCAGGGACCCGCACACAGAGAGTGACCTTGGTGTTGGGAGGACAGAGGAAATCTGCCCGCAGGTGCCGGGAGAGCCCTTTTCAGTGGCTGCTGCGCTGCCATGCCTTCCCCCGGAAAGCTGTCCGGAGTGAGAAGGTTTCCCAAGGGAAATGCCGCACATCCCTGTCGCAGGGGGATTGGACCAAGCGGCCGTGGCTTCGACAGGCGCCGGCTGTAATGCTGGCTGAGGGAGGCTGCAGCTCGTCCTCCGGGACGTCCAGGGGCTGCGGAAGCCTCTTGGAAACGACGCGTGGGCCTCCGAGGAGGCCCCCCCCCCCCCCGGGCCTTCTGAACTTGCAGTTTCCAAAGCAAAGGACAGGAGCAGGAATGGCCCGTGGCTTCTGCCTGGATCCCCGTCCAGAACTCGCCGGAGTTCTGCGAAGTGGCTGCATTCTAGCGGCAGAGCCCTTCCAGCTTGTCCCCCGCGGCCTTGCTTGCCAGGCAGACGCCCTTTGCAAGGCCTTATCCCCGCAGCTGCTGGCCCACACCCTGCTTCTCTCACCCCACACAGGGCGCAACCCCGAAGGATGGGCCCAGCGCTGGCTGCACCATCGTGACGGCCCTGCTGTCCTTGGCGATGGGTCGGCCTGTGAGGCAGAACGTGGCCATGACCGGTGAGGTGTCCCTGACAGGGAAAATCCTCCCCGTGGGAGGCATCAAGGAGAAGACCATCGCGGTGAGTGGGGAGCAGCTGCCCCTTCCCCACAGCGCCACTTTTCCTCGGTTAGGCAGTTCTAAACCACCTTCCATCCAAGCAGACTCCAAGATGGCGCCCAAGACAGGAATGGAGGGTCAGGTGGGGATCAGTAGCGCTTAGCATTGGCCTGGCACTCGGGAGGAGCCGGTTCTTGCCCCCTCCCAGCCCTGAGGCTTACTTGGTGACTTTGGGCCAGTTCCTGACGCTCAGCTTAAGATGCCTCAGCAAACGTTTGCCCTTGCTGGACAACTCTAAATGCCAGCAGCTTTTGGGAATGAGGCTGGAAGCCCGACTGCGTCTTCCCCCGTCCTCGTCTCTCTCAAGCTGAGATGCGGTGCGTCCTCTGGACCTGAGTGCAGAAGCACGGCCTGCCTTGCGGGGCAGCTCCTTTGAAGCGCGGCCTGGGGTTTGCGTCATCTGGGGCATGAACCAACGGCCCTTCCCTTCCCTTCCCTTCCCTTCCCTTCCCTTCCCTTCCCTTCCCTTCCCAGGCCAAGCGAGCCGGCGTCTCCTGCATCATTCTCCCATCAGAAAACAGAAAAGATTTCAGCGACCTTGCCGAGTTCATCAGAGAAGGACTTGAAGTACATTTTGTTGAGCACTATAATGAAATATTCGACATTGTTTTTCCGAAGCTCGATTCCCCAGGAGGCTGAAGAGCAGCCGCGGCAGCTTCTGTTGCCTCGGAAGCAGGGAAGTGTGGGCTCTGCAGGCGGACGCAGCTGCTGCCCGGCTGTTCCACTTTCATGCTGCCTTCGTCACTGAACCGTAGTGCACACCAAATGATCTGAATTATGAACTAATTAAAATCATTTCCTGCTGGGAGGATTTCAGAAAGTGTCTCTTCTGAAAGTGTGGAATGAAGTTTTCTTATGGCAGCGTGTAAATGCAGCTGCTGCCGCCTAGGTGAGGGTTCCTCCTCGAAATACTGACCGCAGGAAATGCCTGCCTCGCCCTTTGGCCCTCAAGGCAGCTCTTAAATCAAGAAAGGACAGCCACATCATGCATGTGTGTCAAGTGGCCTCTCAAAGCTGCTCTTGCCATTTGGGGTTCTTTCTGCAAAAGCCTGGCCTCGATCGGGTTTTCTCCTACACGGCATGCTGTCATCTAAACAACTTGGCAGCACAATCACTGGAAGAAGTCTGGTTGAATGGGTTGGTTTGGGCGATGCCTTTAGGGTCTGGTGCATGGGTCCTCAAACTACGGCCCGGGGGCCAGATCCAGCCCACCATGGCCATTTATCTGGCCCGCCTAAGAGGTTTTCATTGTTAAAAACAAGTTTTATTATTTTCTACAAACTAAAAACATCAGTCATCAAGGACATTGGACATACTGGGTCAGCCCCCCCCATTTTTTTTTGCAACCATCCATAGCCGTATTCAAGTCTATGCATAGTCCCGTTTCTCTAGCCAATAATAAAAAGAGTTCCACGTTTGATAGAAATATGTCTCCTCCTCCTCCTTCATGGACAAGGTCAGCCTGTCCATTTCTGCACAGTCCAGAATCTTTTTTAAGATCAGTTCATCAGTGGGTGGTTCTTCACTCCTCCAGTGTTGGGCAAATGCAATCCTCGCCACAGTAATTACATGTAGAATCAGGTACATAGCTTGTTTATCAAAGTCTTCAGAGATAATGCCTAGTAGAAAAACTTCAGGTTTAAATGTTAAAGGTTTTTGTAACGTTTCCTCAAACCATTTATGTATTTTAACCCAGTATTTTTTCGCCTTATCACAAATCCACCACATACGATAAAAAGTACCAGGTTTATGTTCACATTTCCAACATCTAGTTGACATATTTGGAAACATTTTTGCTAATCTATTTGGTGATAACTACCATCTATAAAACATTTTATAAAAATTTTCTTTATATGAGGTTGCTAAGGTTACCTTAATATTTCTTTCCTACAGCGTTTGCCATTTCTGTAACTCAATATTATATTCAAAATTTTGTGCCCATGTTATCAGTTTCCTTAACTTGTTCTTTTTCTCATATCCAAAAGAAAATTATACAGTCTTTTAATCATTTTTATCTGATTTTAAAATCATTTGATCAAACATCATTAATTTCTTATAAAAACCACACATTTTATCATCTTTAACATATCTCGATTGTATTTGAACCTTATGCCACCAAGAAATATCAATACCCTGCTGTTGTAATTCTTGGTTCAGTTTCAATCTTCCATCATTATCCAAAATATCTCACAATCGTATCAAAATTCAATGCATTTGGATATACAAGAGCTTCCATAAGGGAAAGCCATCTTGGCAACTTACTATACAGCTTTAATTTTTCCCACACCGACATTAATGACTTTCTAATGTAATGATTTAAGAAACAAGCATGTGTCTTACACTTCTCATACCACATTTAGGCGTGCCAACCCATTTGTAGATCATGCCCTCCAAGATAAAGGATTCTCTTATTTCTTAAGGTTATCCATTCTTTTAACCACATTAGGACAGAAGCTTGATAATACAACATCCAGTCAGGAAGGCCAAAACCCCCATTCCCTTTGGCCTCCTGAAGCATTTTTAATTTAATCCTTGGTTTCTTCTTTTGTCATATAAATCTCAAAATTTGGGTGCTTAAATCATCAAAAAAATTTCATCAATTTTTGTGGGAATTGTTTGGAATAAAAATAAGAGCTTTGGTAATATATTCATTTTAACTATTGCTATTCTTCCCAACAGTGATAATTGCAAGTTAGCCCATTTTTTCAGATCACTCTTAATTTCCTTAAATAGTTTAACATAATTATCTTCTTTCAATGTGGAACATTTAACTAAGAAAAATTCCCAAATACTTAACCTTTTTAACAATTTGAAACCCACCTTAGAGGTTTTCAGATTGCCACGTGCGCCCACCTCATCCCCCCGCAAGCGGGGAGGCAGCAGCTGGCTTGCTTGGAGATCTCCAAGTCTACCAAGTCAGCAAGCTGCTGCATTGCAGCACCTGCCCCCTGGTGAAAAAGTTTGGGGTTGGAAGACCCCAGGCCCCCTGGCAAAGAAGTTTGGGGTTGGAGGACCCCAGGCCCCTGGTGAAAAACTCACACCCTGGTGAAAGAGTTAGAGGACCCCAGGCCCCCTGGTGAAAGTTTGGGGACCCCTGGTCTGGTATGTCCAGGCCTGCTGAAAATACCTTTGTTGGACAAGAGTACCTTTCCCCCAAGGGCGTGGGCCTGCAAGTCGGCCCCACAACCCGGTGCCGACATCTGGAAGACGCCAGCCTGTGCAGGGAGCGGTCGGGGTTCTCTGCCTTTGCAGAGCGGCCCAGAGAGGGAGGGCCAGCTGAGGAACAGGCCCAAGGCCGCTGTCCAGGTGGCCAAGGCCAGCCATTCCTCTGGTGGCCTGCCGAGCAACAAGGGCGCCCACAGCCTTCACCCCTCAACCGTGGGTGGCTCTTCTGGCTGCACCCACTGTTGGGCTTCCACCCCCCCCAAAGCCCCCCCCCCAGAAAATGAAGTGGTCCACTGGCTCTTGTTGGAAGAGCTTTATTGAGAGAGAACAAGGCTACAGAGGCTAGTCCTTCTTGGCTGCTGCTTTCCTCATGGCTGCCAGGACATTGCTGAGCTCCTCACGTTTCCTCTTCGCCCGGATGTGAGTCCCAACCTGCGGGGGCAAAGTGACTTAGGTCAGTGCTGCAGAGCCAGGACCTGTGGGAGGAAGACCTCCCGCCTCCGGGGAAGAGGCGGCCCTTCCTTTCAAGACTGGCTGAGCGGTGGGTGCCGTCTCAGGTGGTTCATGGTGAAGGTGGAAGGCCTCCCTCATCACCCTGTTGCTTCTGCGTGACCTGTCCTCCCCCGAGGTCCCTCACAAGGTGATGCCTGCAGACACCCACTACTTTTCTAATGTATATGAATTGACAGAAATGCAGCAGCATACCAAATGCTACATCTGTATGCCGCCCATTCAAACGCCAACCACACTGTGAGCCTGTACATGAGGTGAACTGAGGGTTTACCCTTTCGATCTTGTGATATCAGACCTGAACTATCAAAATGAATCCAGTGATGTTGCCATTCATGAATTTCCATAAAGTAGGTAAATAAGAGTACGTATCAGAGCATATTATACAGTAGCAGCATAAAATCTCTCTTTAGTAACATGTTCCCCCGCAAAGCCAGTGCAGATAATGCCAAAACACATCTCCAGATCAGACACCAGCCGTACTTCTCTGCCAGGGATAAGCCAAATTAGAGTGAAGTGAAAGCAATGCGGCAATGTCTGAGAGATGCGGAACCCACATTTTAGCTAAGTACAATCAGCCTAAAATCCATTGATGAAAGAGGCAACCACCAAAGCAGCATCAGATCCACCGGGGTAGTGCGGAAATGAAAACGGTAATAATAATTCGGCTTTTATGGCAGAACCCATGGGTCCTTGAAAGTTTAGGATCACCTTGGCACTCACCCTTTTCTTGATGAATTTCAGAGCACGCTTGTCTTTGGAGACCTTGAGCAATTCCATCGCTCGCCTCTCATAAGGTGCAAAGCCACACACTTCCCGAATCATGTCCCGTACAAACTTGGTGTGCTTGGTCAGGCGCTGGGGGTGGGGGAGAGAAACATCCAGATTATGTAAAGAATTGTGTGTTTATCTAGGCTAGGACTGTCTGCTACCTGACAGTGGCTCAGCACAAGACAGAGAGAGGAATTTCCTAGTCCTGCTGCTATCCAACACCATACTAACTGGAGGAAAAAAAAGGGGTGCAGGCAGCCTTCCACCAAGTTAGCTGTAAGAACATGTAATTTTCCTCTTCCTTCCCCAAGCCCTTTTCTTTGCATGCTGCATCTCTTTTAGACTGCAGAGAAGTTGCTTCCGAAGTCCAAGTAGCAGAATAAAACTACTTTAAAAGAACATGCAACAGTAAAGTAACTAGAGGGGGCTTCTGGAATCCTCCACATGCAAAGCACTCCATTCCCCACCTCTTTAGAACCATTTTTCCACACACAAGCCGTGCCGCCAGATATGCTGATGCTCACAACGGATTCAGCGGGGCGCACAGACCTCCCATTCCCAACTTACCCCACGGCGCCGGCACTGGCGTGGGCTTGCAACATTCTTCGTCACCTTGTGGCCTTTGTTGAGGCCCACGGCCATTGGGTACCGAATCGCCATGTCTAAGGGAGACAGAATGTCCTGATCGTTCCTGCTGGTTTCTCTTTTTACCCAAGACATCCAACATTCCCGTCCTCTTTTCACCCTGACGACAACACTACAAGGTATGAATTGCACTGAAAGGTATCGGCCAGCCCAAATCACCAAGTACCAAGCGCCAAGCTGGTGGTACAGCCAAGCAGGAGTTTGAATTCAGGTCTCTAGTGTGCGCGCAGCTCTGACTACATTATTTGTCTTCTCCATCAGTTCACGGAAAGAGCTACGGATGTCAAACTTATCCCCATGCCAAAGGCCACCTTCGCCCCATCGCATGCCGCCCACCCCCGGGACCAGCGGTGGAGGCACTCCATCCGTGCGGCAGCCCACGGGGCAGGGACGTCTCGGGTGGCCCCGGCCTGGGGACTTCCACCACGGCCCCGCAGCCACCAGCCCTCAGGACGCAGCGCAGCAGCAGGCCGGCCGACCCTCCAGGGGTCGTCCAGCCACCCTGATGCGGGAGCCCCACCGCGGAGGAGCCACCCCGCTTCCCGCCACGGCCCCGGGCCGCACCCCATCGCCGCCCGCGGCGGGCTGCCCTCGCCGCCGCCGCCGCCCAGCCCGAGCGGGGCGCTCCCGCCGGCCCGGCCGCCCGCGAGGGAGGATGGCCGCGGATCCCGCTCACCCCGAGTCCGCCGCCCTCAGCAGGCACCGCGATGGAGGCCGCGCCGGAAAAGGAGAGGCGGGTGCGCGCGCAGCCGCGACTATGGAGGCGCCCCAGCGGGGTCCTAGAGCGGCGCCCTCGGCCGGAAGTCGCGCTGGGCGCCCGCTGGCTTCCGGCGGCGGAGACGGAGTCATGGCTGCGGCGGCGGCGGCGGCGGCGGCAGTGGCGGGTGGCCCCGGCCCCGGCCCCGGCCCCGGCCCGGCCCCGGCGTCCCGCGCGGAACTGAAGCTGGTGCGCCTGCTGAGCCGGTGCGAGGCGCTGGCGGCCGACAGGCGGGACCCGGAGGAGTGGCGGCTGGAGAAGGTAGAGGCGGGGCTCCCGGCAGGCTCCGCGTTGCTATGGGGACGGGCTCGGGGGGGCGCCCGGGCGAGCGGGCCGCGGGCCGCCGGTGGCCTCTCTCCCCGGCCTGACGCTGGGGAGGCTGCACCCGCGGCCTCTCTGCCTGGTTGCGCTGCGGCTGCCGCAGCGGCTCCCCCCGCCGCGGCTCCCATCACCCCGTCGGCTGTGGAAGCTGGGAACTGTAGGCCACCCCCGTGGAAGGATCCCGGCCTGTGGGGAGGGGCGGGCCCCGTTCTGCTTCCTTGGTGGGGCTTCGTAAGGAGGTGGGCCGTATGCTCGTGTCGCTCCTGTTATTAATGGCCATTGCCAGCAAGTGGGCGAGGAATGTTGAATGTTTGGAGTCAGGATTCTGCAAATTATGTTGTTGGATTTTGGCGGCCACGTTACCAAAACAAGAGGATGGCCCCCACCCACCCTCAGTGGCTCTAACTGAGGGCGCATTGTTTCGTTTATTTGCGGAATGCACAGATAACCAAGGACTGCATAACTCAACCAGTATTGTTCCATGCGAACCACACTAACGGGGTGTTGTAAACAATTTATCCTAGCTGCAGCCCCGTGTGGCAGTATGGATATCGCGGGTTGTGCTGGCTGGGGAGTACTGGGCGCTGCAGGGTTTTTTCCTGTCATACATGTATAAACTACATGGTTCCTCCTGCCAGTAAGTTCTGGAGAGGTGTTTCATCCTTTTAGAATGTGGTGGGGAGCATGCAAAAGCAGTGAAGCCACCGCGCAACCGACAGGAGGAGAAAAGTTTAGTGTCGCCATCCCTGGGGGTCATGGTGGACCAGCTTTGTTCCTTGGAAGTGAAGTCCAGCACCAGAATGCCTGGTTTCACTTGAAAGAACCTCAGACAGGCAAAGGCTGTGGAGGGACATAAAATCACAGGCAGGATATGCTGCTTGAGCCCTTTGTTATAACACTGGCAAGGTATAGATACGTCGTTGTTGTTGTTGCTAGTTGCGAAGTCGTGTCCGAACCATCGTGACCCCATGGACAGCACACCTCCAGGGCCTCCATCATCCCCCAGAGTCCATTTAAGCTCACACCAACTGCTTCAGTGACCCCATCCAGCCACCTCGTCCTCTGCCATCCCCTTCTTCTTTTGCCCTCCATCGTCCCCGGCATCAGGCTCTTCTCCAGGGAGTCCCTCCTTCTCATTAGGTGGCCAAAGTATTTGAGCTTCAGCTTCAGGATCTGGCCTTCAAAGAGCAGTCAGGGTTGATCTCCTCTAGGACTGACTGGTTTGATCCCCTTGCAGTCCAAGGGGCTCGCAGGAGTCTCCTCCAGCACCACAATCCAAAGGCCTCAATTATTGGATCAGAGGATCATGGAATAGTAGAGTTGGAAGGAGCCATGAAGGCCATCAGGTCCAACCCCCTGGATCATGGTGCTGTTGCTAGTCACGAAGTCGTGTCCGACCCATCACCACCCCATGGACAACACTCTTCCAGGCCTTCCTGTCCTCCACCCACCCCCGGAGTCCACTTAAGCTCAAGCCGACTGCCTCAGTGACTCCATCCAGCCCCCTCATCCTCTGCTGTCCCCTTCCCCTTTTGCCATCTATTGTTCCCACCATCAGGCTCTTCTCCAGGGAGTCCTTCCTTCTCAGTAGGTGGCCAAAGTATCTGAGCTTCGTCTTGAGCATCTGGCCTTCTTAAGGAGCAGTCAGGGTTGATCTCCTCCAGGACTGACTGGTTTGATCGCCTTGTGGTCCAAGGGACTCGCAGAGTCTCCTCCAGCACCACAGTCCAAAGGCCTCAGTCCTTTGGCGCTCAGCCTTCCTTATGGTCCAGCTTTCACAGCCATACATTGCAACTGGGAAAACCACAGCCTTGACTATTCACACTTTTGTGGGCAGGGTGATGTCTCTGCTTTTTAGTGTGCTGTCTAGATTTGCCATAGCTTTCCTCCCCAGGAGCAAGCGTCTTTTAATTTCTTGGCTGCACTCCCTGTCTGTGGTGATCCTGGAGCCCAGGAAGATAAAATGTGTCACTACCTCCATTTCTTCCCCATCTATTTGCCAGGAAGTGCGAGGACTGGATGCCATGATCTTAGTTTTCTTAATGTTGAGGTTCAAGCCTATTTCACTCTTTCAGAGATAATTACCCCGTGTTCAATTTTTGGTTGTAACAAATGCATTTAAGCATTGCCTTGAGAAGTAGAGGAATAATCATTATCATCAGTGTAAAAAAGGCTATCGCTGCTGTGGAATTCGGAGACCAACAACTTTTGGAGCAGGTGGTTTTGCATCCAGGCCGGCTGCATGGTAAAAATTTGCTCCTGGTGCTGGTGCGCTTGGCTTCTTTCATTTCCCCCTAGAGGTTGACTCAGCTCTGAAAGGTTATGTTTGAATGTGCGAGCGTGTAATCGAGGGATCTGCCTGTAATCGAGGGAATTTCTGCTCAGCCCTGTAATTTTAGAAGTTCAGTTTGTCGGTAGCTGTCATCCTCCACGCGGATGTTGCCCGTCTCCCGCAGTTCTCCCGGCAGGCACCACTGGAGGTCGCATGCCACCGGAGGGACTCGCGGCTAGCCGTCCAGGCCTTTGCCTTCGAGCAGCGGGAAGACCAACATTCTGGGAGGCCCCCGGACCCAGCCGGGCTGCCTCCTCCCTCCAGTGCTGTGCTGCCACGTTGCAGCGCGCACTGGCGGCTGCGGCCTCGGGCCTTGAGGGGGGCCAGCCCCACTGGGCTCCTGCCGCGGAGCGCGCAGGGCCGCTCTGGGCAGTCCTTGCAGCTGAGGAGATGGGCGAAAGGCTTCCAGGACAGAAAGGGGAGCGATTGCCTGGCCTTTTCCAACCGTGCCCGAAGACGGGGACCTTTGCCTTCGACAAAGTCTAACCAAAGAGTAAACCTCCAGTCATGGAGATCCTTCTGTGGAATAATAAGTGGTTAGCAAACAGAAGGAGCATAGGAGGAGGTCCCACAAAGGCCCTGGATAGGAACTGTTCCTCCTCAACGCGCTTGTAAATGCCCCAGCGTGAGCAGTGAGGGGGCCAAGGGTGCTGATGGTGCCAAATCGTTTTAGGGAGGAAGTAAATCTCTTTTTGTTTCTAGAGAGAGCCGGGGGAAGTCCCTAAAGAGCATCTCCTGGCTGGACATCAGAATGGCATGCGAATATGACGTGAATGCGGGGCAGAGGCCCCAGCTCCCCTCGTACCCTCGGCCAGATCGCGGGGCTGCAGTGGGTACCTTGGTCAGAATGCCCGCATAATTAGACGTAACTCGGAAGGGGATTGAAAATAGCACGGCCAACGTCATGCTGTCAGAATACAAAACCCGACATGGAATGCTGTGTGTTGATGAGGTCGCTGCCCCCCAGAGGGGGTCTGGGAGAAACAGAAGACTTGCAGTGGGGAGCACCCACGGTTCAAGGGACCGGAGCAGCTCCCCAGTGAGGAATGGTTGCAAAAGCTATTGAGGGGAAGCGCAAGCGGCCTTCTGCCACCCTGCTGTGCTGGACTACAGCTTCCAGCATCCCCCAGGCAGGGAGGGGCTGCCTTACCCGTGCTTGGAAGTCGGAGAGGCCAGTGTGCTGCTGTCCCTTGCGCAGCAGAAGCAGAAGCAAACAGATGCTGCCTGTTTGCAGGACAGAAAAGGGGAGAGGGGGGAGGACAGAAGAGGCAGCCAGCCCACCAGCGCCCCCAGCTTGTGCCTGTAAGTGGGAAGCTGGAGTGGAGCGAGTGGGCGCTCTCCCCACCGGCCGCTTGAGAACAGGGAGGGGCGGCTGCCCTGGCTCCTTTGGCCCCGGCCCTGTGCTGGCGCTTGGGCTGCTCGGGGCTTGGCGGGGGGTCACCGTGTCCCTGTGCATCAGCCGCAGGCCGCTGCATTGCCTGCTGCCCAGTTTCAGGGCCCGGAAGGGAAGGGGGCAGCCTGCTTCCTTTCCCAGCAGACGAGTCGGGGAGGCCGCCGCTGGGCCTGCTGGTGGCGGGGCGCCTGCTGTGTGTGGCCCAGGTCGGGCGACGGGAGTGCAGGTGGGGGCACTGGGGAGCTCAGAACTGTGCCGGGTGCCGGCAGGGACCATGCCCTGCCACAGCCTTCACAGGCTGGAGGAAAACCCAGTTGTGGAGTTGCATCATTCACGTTTTGACCTGGGGGTGGAGAGGAGGGGGCTCCGACGTGAGAGCTGAGGCTGTGCCATGCGGGGTGTTGGCAAGCCGTTTGGGGCGTGTCACGGAGGGGCCTGACAACCTGTGGCCTTTGTGCTTCGCTCCCAAGGCAGACGTCGCCTTCCCAAAACTGGGGGGGGGGCGGGGAGGGACGGGACGGGGGGCCGCCCTGGCTCTTGGTGCTCCTGCGGGGCAGGCGGCATGGGGCCCTTGCTGCACTGCTCACTGGAAAGTGTGCCGCGCATGTTTGCTGAGAAGTAAATCTCGCTGGTTTACAAAACAGGAGATGCATTCTTGGAGCATGGGTCAGCAGCTGCTGGCCCGGGAAGACCTCCATGCGCAGAGGCAGCTTAGTTCAGCAACCCCGAAACCAGGTTCAGCAGAGGTGCCCCCCCAGGCCTGATCTGGTGAGGGAGGGGCTCTGTTGTAGGGCGTCCGTTGCAGCGGCCCTTCCTTGGCAGCCTTCCTTGCGAGGGCAAAATGGAGCTCAGCCAAGACTATTTATTAATGTCTGTGGAGTCCCTTCCTCAGCCCAAAGAAGGCTGCCAAAGCAGCCAGTCGAACAAGACACTTTCCTTACAACCCCATGAGGCGCGCAAAGGAAAAGGGGGTGGGGGGACCGGGACAGGGTGGTCTTTCAGCCAGGCCCTCTGGCATTGCAGCTGGTGGCGAGGCCCCGATTCCCATTGCAGCCTCTCCACCGCAGGTCTCCTCTGCGAGGCCACGAGTGCTTCCAGCTCCTGGGGGTGGGATGGGCGCCACTCTCCCCTCGCACTGCAGCACCTTTGCTCCCGGGTGCTGGAGAGAGACGCCCTGTGAAGCTGTGCAGGAGCCATCAGGATAATTCTAGGCAGCCCTGAAGGGCTCCTTGGGTGGGAAGGGAGTCCCGACTCGGGAGCGGGGCTTCTGTGAGCTGTGACCCAGTGGCACCTTCCCACCCCCACCCCCGTTGTGCTGGCCTGGCAGTGCTTGCCCTGCGAGGCATCAGTGGCTCCCGCTCGGGCCTTGGGCCTGCTGCCCTCATGCCTGCCATGCTTCCTTGGAGGCCTGTGGACACCTGCGCTCTGCCCGGGGGGAGCTGAGGGGCTGCCACAGACCGCTGCCGCTCTCTTTGCTCTTTGCCTGCCTGGTGACGTCAGGCAAGGCCCGGTCCTCGGACGTCATGTGGGCGCCACCTTTCCGCAGTGCCGCGCAGGCGGGAGCAGTCCTGGAGCGGCTGCGCTTCAGGAGTGGCTGGGATCCTCCTCTGGTGGGGGCCCGCAGAAGCGGCCGTTCCCGTCATGTGCGGGGCACACCCCGAACCACAGCTGGATCCTGGAAGGGCGGCGAGTGGCAACCAGAGTCTCGCAGGGTATTTGCCGCAGCATCTCCAAGACCCAGGCTGCATGCCCGTGCTGTCTGTCCTGAACGGGCGGAGCGATCCACACCAGTGCCACTGAAAGTGTGTCCTTTCTCTCCTTAGTACGTCGTGGCTCTGGAGGAGACGCTGCTCGCGCTGAAGAAGCACTCCAGGTGCGTGCGTGCCGTGGGGGCTGCGTCGATCCTCTTGGGCCTTCTTAACGCAACCCCAGAAGATAGTTGCTAGGAAGGGCCGGGCTCCGGTGGGGTGGCGTCCGAGGCCTCGTGCCACGGGACTGGCCAGCCCCGAACTGCCCAGAGCAAGCCCGAGATCTCCCATGCCAAAATACAGCAAGTTGCTGGAAGCCCGTTTCTTCCGTGCTGGCGAAGCTCTCAGTCCCAGGGTGAGGCAGGCGGGTTGGTGCTCCTGGCCACGGCCCTCGCCCCAGCGGGAGACCCTGGACCTGCCCTTTGCTGCCGGTCGTTTTCAGGATTCCGATTCTGAAGGGATGCAGCAGCTCTGGAAGCTTCCCCAGCAGACAGGGTGAATGGCGACTGCCGGCTTCCTGCGCGGGAGCTCAGGTGGCGTCTCTCTGATGCATGAGGCCCCGCTCCTGCCGGGGCTGGCTAGTCAGTGAGCGTCCCCCCCGGAGGCGCTGTGGGGCCGGTGCTTCTCCTCCAGTCGCGATGGGGCTTTCGCCTTCATGGGAACGGGCGGGCGTAGCGGAGTGTCCCCTGGCTTCTCTTCACTGGCAGCCCAGCCCACACTTCTGGTCCCCTTTCAGCAAACCAGCTGCCGAGGTGCTGAATGAATATGCACGCAAGGTGGACTTCCTGAAGGGCCTGCTGGAAGCTGAGAAGCTGGTAAGGCGTCTTGTTCTCCTTGGCCCTGCCTGGCGCGGGCCGGTGCCGCCGCTGGGTGCCCTGTCCTCCTGCCCCTCTCTGAGCCACGCACCGTCCGGCAAGCCTCCCCCTCTGCCTTCCTCTGCCTTCCCAGCCCTCGTCATCGGAAAAGGCGCTGGCCAACCAGTTTCTGATCCCGGGGCGGACCCCCACCACCACCAAGGAGCGCATGCCAGCTACCAAGACAGTGCACCTGCAAGCCAAGGCCCGCTGCACGGGGGAGATGAGGAGCGCCCTGCTAGGTACTGCTTCTCTCCTGGGGCAGAGCCGCTGGGGCACCCCCTCTGGGCTTTCCCCCAAGTGTTGCCGGGCTGCGGCGCGGCCCGTCTGCCGTGGCCTGCCCCCTGCGTGTGCGTGTGCACACGTGTGCCTGCCGTTCCGGGGAGGGGCCTCCCTTTCCGCAGGCCGAGGCTGCTTGTGTGTGCCCCCGCGGGGCTGTGGGGGCCCCCAGCAGGGCCGACTCTGTGCAAGGCCATGGCGGGGGGGTTGCCTCGTTGCCTGGCAGGCCCGGGAATGCAGGCCCGGGCAGGCAGGATCAGTGGCTTCCGAGCCCCAAAGCCCTCTGCGTCCCGGGACCTTCCCGTCTCTCCCCCCTTCTGCTGCCTCCAGAGGACTCCCCCTGTGCTGTGAGCAAATGCCTGCAGGTGGTTTCTGGAGCTCGCTTGGAGGAAGCACTGGCACGCATGCTTGGAAGCCCACCCTCGCCCTGAGCCTCCCCTCCCTTCCTGCCGGCCTGGCAGTTCCCCCACATGTTCCCAGGCTGGCTAGGGAAGCTGATTTCCAAGGCCAGAACGTCTGCCAGCTGGTCCAAGCAATCCTGCTGTACTTTTCCTCTCCAGATTTGGGAGATGCCAGTGTGAGAAAGCGCACGTGAGTGTCCAGGGGTGTTTGGGGGATTGTGGGGTGGGCCTGTGCCAGCCTGTGCTTCTGAGCTTCTGCCGGGGCCTGGGAAGGGGAGGAGCGGGGGAGCCTGTGCCCCTTTGCACTGGGGTGGGGAGAAGGCCAGCGGCTCCCGTGCGCCTCTGCGGCCAGAAGACGCCCTGGCTCTGCCTGCCCTTGGCTTGCTTGCGCCCGCGGCATCGAGGACGAAACAGGCGCGCCATTTCACACACACAACGCAGCGCGGGGGGTCCCCTGAGCCGGAGGGGGTGCTGCGCTCAGGGCTGCGGGACACGCGGCCGGGTGAAGAGCTTGCCCCGCCAGGTTCCCCTGCTTGGCTCTCCAGGGAGCAAGTGCCGCTGCAGGAGCTGAGGCCGTCTGCATCGAGCGGCGCAGGGCAGAGGCCGGGCACCGGACGCCACGAGGCGAGCGGCTCAGGCGGGCCGCACGTTGGCGGTCCGCCTGCAGCCCCCCGGGGGCCTGTGGGTGCCGGAGGCGTGCAGGGCCGTCTCTGTGGGCCTCGGCTGGCTGCTCCCTCAGGGTGTCTGTCCCAAGTGGGTGGTTTCTAAACGACTTGGGGAGACCCCCAACCCGCCGACCGCACGACGGGCTGTTACTGCATCCTCGGCAGTGACCCTGGCAGCTGGAGCAGCGCAGGCGGGAATTGGGAGTCCCGTGTGGGTGAGGAAGGCTGTGCCCCCCTCCCCCCCAGGGCCCCGCTCCCGGGTGAGAAGCAGACGGATGCGGAGCTGGACGCGGTCCTGCAGCACCACCACAGCCTCCAGGAGAAGCTGGCCGAGGAGATGCTGCACCTGGCACGCAGCCTCAAGAGCAGCACGCTGGTGGCGCAGAACGTGATCAAGCAGGACAACCAGGTGCGGCTCACTGCCGGCCACCCGGCCGTGGAGACCCCCCCAGACCCAGGCCCCCACCTCCGCCCCCGTCGTGGCTGCCTAGGGTGAAATCCCCGGGCCCTGCCAGAGATGGGCAAGGACGGCCGGCAGTGGGTGCCTGCGGGGGCCTCTCAGCGTGAGTGTCCATTCCGGGAAGCGCCCAGGAGCCCTTGGGTCAAGGCGGGGCCAAACCCAGCAGGGGCAGGGCCAAGCTGCCCATCTCCGCCTAAAGCTCTCAGCAGCCCCCGCTCGTCCCCAGGGGGCACACTCAGCTTCCTGGAAGGAGGGGGCTCCCTCTTGACCGCCAGGAAACAGCCGGTGCTGCGGGTCAGGGAGAGGAGGTGTGGCTCCCCGGCCCCCTTTGGCCCCCGGGGAGGCCTGCAGGGCCCCCGCACTCCGTGGCTTGTGGCAGCCCTGCCTGGCCCGGTGTGCAACCTCGGGCATCTCCCGGCTGGGCTGAGGAAGGGGCCGCCCAGTTGCCCAGGGGGTTGCTGCCCATCAGCGCAAACTGGGCCGGCGGGACCAGGTCCGGCTGGAGCGGCTGCTCCTGCGGGTGCCCGGGCTGGGGAAGGGCTGCCCCGTCGAGTCCCGCTGTGCCCCCCTTTGCTGCAGACGCTGTCTCACTCGCTGAAGCTGGCCGACCAGAACCTGGGGAAGCTGAAGGACGAGTCAGACCGCCTGGAGCAGCACGCCAAGAAGTCGGTCAACTGGCTGCTCTGGCTGATGCTGATCCTCGTCTGCTTCATCTTCATCAGCATGATCCTCTTCATCAGGATCTTCCCGAAGCTGCGCTGACTTCCCGGTGGGGCCGTAGCGGCTGCACCCTGGCCCTCGCGCGCGCTGCCCACTTCCCCACGCGGCCCCCAGACAATTCTCCCGCCAAGCAGCTGCGCCCGAGCCAGAAGCCCAGCCCAGCCGGGGCGCAGCCCTCCGACGCGCCCACAGCTTCCCCTGCGGCTCCAGAGAAGCCCCACCTGCCTGCACGCACGGCGCTCAGAGGCCCCCGCGGCCGGCAGGTGGCCAAGCCGGCCTGTGCACATGTGGCTGCACCTGAGTTGCGCGGACCTGTGCGGAGGGAGTGTGGTGCCTCGTGACCCGCAGGGGCCGCGAGACCTGGAGCCAGAACGTGGCTGCTCGGGAGACCCAGTGCGGGCCCCTTCGGGTGGGTCCGGTGGGAGGCGCTGGCCCCTCAGGGGAGGGGCTGCGGGGGCACTGCTCCGTTGCTCTTGCTCGGACGGCAGGCACCCCCTGCTCCCGCTCCACTGCTCCCGAGCAGTGGCCGAGGGGAGTCGGAGTGGCCACGGGCACCCTCCTCATGGCACCCCGAAGAGCTGGCAGAACAGTGCATCACCTGGAGGAGCCGGCAGCTCCCGGGGCCTCTCCCTTCTCCCAAAGCCCGGTGGTGAGGAAGGCGCGTGGGCCCTCCATGGCGCGGGTGCTGCTGCCTGTCCCGGCCCGGCCCGGCCCGGCCTGGCCTGGCCTGGCCCGGCCCATGGGCCTCTGCCTGCAGGCTTGGGACCAGCCACCGAGGCTGCGCGGGCAGTTGGCAGAGGCGAGGGAGAGGCCTGCCACTGGGTGCCCTGTCGCCTCGCGTGCATGCTGAAGCCCGCCGGTTTGCCGGCGCTTGGCTCGCCCTCCGCGGGGCTTCCCGGGAAGGGCCCGCGTGGATCGCGGCGGGGTGGGCCCCCTGCCGTGAATGCATGGCCAGACCCTGAGAGGCCAGCGTGCGGGACAGGCGGCAGCTTCGGGGTCTCGGGGAAGGCTGGGGGCCCTCCCTCCCGGGGTGGGTCTGCTGTGCCTGGGCTCTCTGCTGGGGGCTGGGCAGGGAAGCCCCCGCGGGCTCTTGCTCCGCAGTGCCGCTGCGTGGTCGCCCGCCAGTGTTTCGCCAGCTGCCCCAGCTCGGCCCCGTCAGTCCGACCTTTGCTGCCACCGCCTCGGTCTTGGGAGAGCTTAATAGGTTCTGGTGCTTCCTGCCTCAAGGAGAAAGATACGCTTCTGGGAAGCCTCGTCTTCACGCAGGACGGGACAGGATCCCCACCCTCCCCACCCATGGCCAGGTGCGGAAGGCCGGGCAGGCGGCCCGTGGCAGGGCTTTGCTTCCAGCCCTGGGCCTTGTGGGCTCCTTGGGGTCCAAGGAGGGGCCGCGTTCCCAGGCCTCTGCTCCTCCGACTCGAGAATTTGGTCAGCGGGTCTCTGGAGGCGCGGAGGGGAGACGACTCGCATCTGGCCGGAGTGGGAACAGGACTGCTTGCTGTGCAGCCGCCTCCATCCTGCTGGGGAGCCCTGCGTGTGTGCAAAGGAGACGCACTTCCAACAGTGACACGGGGCAGAAGGCAGGCCCCAGGAGGAGAACCCGGGCCCCGCACTGCTCGGGGAAAGGTGCCGGCGCAGAGGCGGAAAAGGCTGAGGGAGAGGCGCTCCGGCAGTGCTCCTTGAGCGGCCTTGCCAGAACAGAAGTGCTGTTAACAGAGGAAGAAGCAAGCGCTTCGTTTTTAGGTGAGGTCGATCGCTGAGGAAATCGCCCCCCTCCTCCTGCGTTGCTGAGTCTCCCCACCTCGTGGGAATTTCTGGGGACAGCCGGAATCAGCTTCATGCGCAAATTCTTGCTGCCAGTTGCCCCAAATGTATCTTTTGCCTGCCAGCCCTGCGGTTGCTGCCCAGACAAGAGCAGGAGGGAAGCTGTTTCTGCTGAGGCTGCTTGTCGCGGGCAGGGAGGGCACCAGCCGTGGCGCCTCGGGGGCTGCCGGGCAGCAGGCATCTTGTGCCCTCCTGGCAAGGCCCCGTTGAGCCAGCGCCTGTGTTGGGGCAGTGGCTCCGGCCCAGGCCCCCTGCAAGCGGGGCATCCTGACACGGGTGGGCTGAGGGCATCTGGTCAAACAATAAATTAATCAATAACCGACATGGCGATGAGCGGCTTCAATTATGTCCTGCCATTTGGAAAAGGCCCAGTATTTTGGATGGGTGGCCATGGGGCAGTTCAGTCATGTACAGTTTATGGTTAATAATTCACATTCTTTCGGTAATGAGCTTGGCTTTTCTGCCACAGGGTTGGAGCGACCTGGAAAGTAATGGTGCCCTGTGGAGTGGGGAGGCTGATGGGCAAAGGTGGCCGCCACAGGCCTGGGGAAAGAATGAGTCACGTTAAATCCCGTGCTGCAGAAGCGGGAGAAAAGACCCAGAGTGGCCCACACGGCTACCAGAGAATGCACCGTCAATGCGCTGCAATAAACGGCAAAAGCCGCCAGACCTCTCCCTCTGCTGCAGCTCCTTGTCTGTACATCCAGCTTGCACAGGAAGAACGGGGGGCACAGGGGACCTTTCGACAGCAAGGGGGCTGCACAGACGATGTGGGCCCTTCCCGCTGCGTAGGGTGCAGGAGGAGGCTCAGAAGAGCTTTGCCCCAAAGAACCCCGCAGGACCCCCACCAAGTCCCCCTGGATGAGTGGCGCCCCACTGCATAGCTTCCAGTGCCGCCTCGCTGATAATTTGGTGGACTCGCGGCTCTGTTGCCATGGTATCGTTGTTACTACCTAGCAACCGTTTTGTGAATGGTAATAGTTAAGGTAATTACTGCTGCACTTCTTCCATTCCCAGTTTCTTCTAGCAGTGCAGTTTAATCCCCACCAGCTCCAAGTTAACCCTTCGCACTTGTTCCCGAGGCGCTGGGTCCCTGAAAGTTTCTGCCAGAAAAAAATTGTTCCCCCTTGGAACTCTTGGTTGATCCAGAATATTTTTTTGTTGTTGTTGTTGTTCTGGAGACCAACAGCTTTTAGGGAATACATGGGAAAGGTCGCCGAAGGCCAGCAGCACATGCGCGGCTCTCGGTTGCAACTGGTTATGTTGCCATCTCTGTGCAATAGTAATTAATTACAGTGCTCTATCAGTGCACAGAACAGCTGTCACAATTTCCTAGGCAAAACGCAGCTCCGCTTGCAAGGAGTGGACAGTCTAAAACATGGTAGTGCAAAGAACAGAGGGAAGGCGCAATGCCAGCGAGAGGCATTTTCCCGGAATGAAAACTTGGCTCCTGGGGGAACGAAGGTCTGGCCAGGTATCCGAAGCCTTTTGGGCCCCTGGGGCGCGAGGAGGCACGTGTACAGATCTTAGGAGATGACCCGAACGGCCTGGGGAGAAAAGGGCTCGGGGCGCTGCGGGAGAGCGCCACGTGCTCCCGCAGGGAAAGTGCTACACTCGGGCTGTTGCAGAAGTGTGAGTAGCTAGGCTCCTGCAGCTGCTCACACTCCAGTCCACACTTCGCCATGATTTCGCCCAGCAACTCCACGTGCAGAGAGACCTGGCCGCGGGGCACCTCTGTGACTCTCTCGGCTGAGCCTAAGCGGCTCGCTCGGGCTGAGCGTGGAGGGGATAAAACGTGACCGGTGGAGCAGACGAAGATGCAGCGCCCCGTCAGCGACGGCGGCCGGCCGCCTTTCCCCGACGCTCGTGGACACGGCGAGGCCGCGCCGGCCGACCGGGCAGCCACCGCGCTCCGCCCGTGGGAGCCGGGCTACTCCGGGGCGCCTCCGGCGAGGCGGCGCGCGGGGACCCAGCGTCTCAAGGGCACCTGCGCGCAGCGCCCGCGCCGCATGCGCCCTTGGCCCGGTGGGCCGCCCCCGCGCACCTGGCGGCGGAGCCCGCG